AAAAAGGCAGATCACAAATATTGTCAATATCTAAAAATCAATCAGTTGGCTTCTCATAGTCATTTGACCCTTAGCATACAAATCACAGAAGACTCGTATGCAAACAATGAGTAGCCCATTTGGAACAAAATGAATATGTCATTGCTATTTCATTGTTGCCAGACATGACTAAATAATAGCATGCATAATATGAGAACCAAAGTACAAATGACTTTCAGAGCAAAATTTTCACTTGGACTTGCATCTTTCTATGAATTCATATGGACAATTATTCTATGCTGAATAAGAGGCGCAGCGAGTTCGTTCCCTCTAAAAATCTGACCTTCTTCGGCATTAACCAAATGAACCCCGTTCTCACCACTTCCAACTGATAAATATGTCCCCAAAGTAGTATTTGAATTAGTATCATGACTTGTATTCATGTCAGGCCTCGCATTTGAATTTTCATCCGAAGTAGAACCTGCATTCCTTCTCTCTCTCCATACCCTTCTTTGCATGACATCACCACATGAAGATAAAATCATTATTAATAACTCAACGAGCCTCATAAACTAAAGCAGGGATATCTTCATCCCGAGATATTGCAAGCTCTACCAAGAGCCTCAAAGCCCCACTGGGCAACAAAACAGCCGCAAGATCATACAATGCGATGGCAATCAAAAGCACCCAAGTTGCTGCAGATATGCCTGTTTTTCCCCGATCAAACGTTGGCTCTTGGCCATTGCATTTAGCCCATAAAATTCTTCCAGAACTGAAACCACACTAGCCAAATGCCAAATTATACTGATGTAAACAAACCCACTTAGGTAAATCACAAAAAGAGATACTAAAAGAATTGGACCCACCAACAGTATTGATCTAAAATGTGTAGAGTTCACATATTTATAGGCAATGCTATGATAATACAGTGTCGTCATCATCTTCTTTCTCCTCCCTCACATCATACTAATCGTGTCAAGAATCAAAACCAACCCTCGATGTACTTCTATATCATAACCTTGTTCCTGTAACACCAAATCAATCATTCATTCAATCTCAATACATTTAAAATATTACTAATCCAAACAATGTAACTTGACAATAATTAACATAACCAACATGCATGCAAATGCTCATATTAATGGCATAAATCTAACAAAACATGAACTCAACCAATTTAGAACAAAAAAGTAAAAAACCAATATTGGACACCAATGCAGATTGCATTAAATAAATAAGCCAGGCTTTTAGCTAAAATCAAAAAAGGATATTCTAATTTTTTTCGTAAATAATAATACGAGAAAGGCACACTTGCATCTGTTTAGAGTATGATGAAGAGGAAGGAACTCTTTTGCTACGAAAAATCATATAGCCCACATGCAACACCACTTCCAACATCATTATGGCCGCTCCGATCAAGTATCTGAGTACGCTTGGCGGCTCCACCTCGACCAATACCACTCTCTTCAACTGCATCACCACCAAATCAAAATGACCCATTTCAGTTTAACCCTAAATTATATATAAACGTGTGCAAATGCGAATTCATTCCGTCACAAGAAGACCCATTTCAATTGAACACTAAATTATGAATAAACTGACACAAATACATATTAATTCTTGTACAAGAAAGTCCATTTCAACTGTAATAAATGTAATGCAAATGAGAAGAATTGTTAATCAGGCAGCTGCATTTATCATCTCTCTTTTTCACAAAAATGCCATTGACCAGAAAATCGGTGTAGAATCTTCACTCGACTACACCCTAGATTCAAGAAATCTCTGCTGGGTTTTCCTATTTTCGAAAATAAATATGTAAAAAAAAAAAACAGCAGATTGATTAATAAGAGGGATAGTGAGAGTAGGGAAACCTGATTGAAAGAGCCAGTAGAAAACCCGCAGATTTGGCAACACGAGCAGGAAGAAATTGTCATTGGTTGTGAGATTGGAAGAGGAAAACCAGAGGAAGCCATATGTTACGGGAGAGAGAGGATAAGTCTGGGAATTCATTTCTCGTGTTTTATGAAAACTAGCGTGTTTTGGCTTCAAAATGATGAAAACGAGCTTTTGGACGTTTTTAGTTGTGTGTAAATTTTTTTTCATTTTCAAAAACGCGCGTTTTTAGTTTTGTGTGTAATTTTTTTTTTCATTTTCAAAAACGCATTTTTCAAAATGGGGAAGAGAACGCGCTTTCTCTATTTTGAAAAATCGAAAACAGAAAACGGCTTAAAAACGGCAAAGAGAACAAGCCCTAAGTTTTCCTCCCTTAAAAAATGGATATAATTGGAATTCACAGGAAAAATCTTGATGGAATAGCATGCAAAAGATGAATAGAATGAGGATGCGTAAAATCATAAAAAGTAAGGAAACAGAAATTCAGTATACCGTCTAAGAGGTTCTCTGGATCAACATAACCCAAAGTTCCTGAAAACTTGATGTTTGTCTTGTTTGAGTTTCCACCAAAATCAGAAAGCTGAACCAAAGCCAAAGCCATTAGCCAAAATAAAAAAATTTCTATAAACTTTGAGATCAAAATATTCTGATCATTTTACCTTGGCGTTGAAGTTCTAATCCAGAAGAATATTGGATGGTTTAAGATATCTATGGATCACAGGAGTGTTGCAATGCTCGTGAAGATACTCTAATCCTCTAAAAAATGCCAACTCTCCAATACAAAATAAAATATAAAGATGATCAAGTTACTCTAAAGATCATTGAATAGGTACCTTGCGACATCCAACGCAATTTCATCCCGAGATGCCAATTTAACGATTTTACATGAAAAGGTCCTGAAGTAAGTATTCAAAAAACATTCAGTAATCTGAATTCGTGTACATGGAGTGAGTTAGTGCATTATATCAATCATTCTTAATGCTAACTATGAGTAAGTTTGGCTAAGCTTCAAAGCAAGTAAAAGTCTTTTTGCAAACATTTTTGATTAAAGACTTATTCCTTCCTCTCAATAATTAAAAAAAAAAAATGTTATTCTAACATTGATGTCGCAATAAGTAACTCATTAATTCTCATTTTCTATCAATAAAAATTTAATTTTATAAAACTTACTTATTTACGTTAAGTAAACTTTTTAAGCTTAACCAAACATGATAAAATAAATCTGGAGCACACATTTTACCATGTAACTGGAATTCCAGAGCATCAGTTCATAGACGTGATAGAGCCCCTCGCCATGAATACAGTACCCCAAAAGCTAGACAATGTTCTTATGCTGAATGTTATTCAACAATTTGATCTCATTCTGCAAAATTAATTGAAATAAAGCCGTAACGAAAACCTGTAAAAGATTAACGAAATTCCGAAAGATAGAATCAAACATGAGTAAATTTACCTCGAATTCTCTTTCGGCTGCCTGTTCAGTAGCAGACAGTTTTTTAACGGCTGCATGAAATTCGTTGTCAAAGTGGGCTTTATAAACATGCCCCCATCCACTTTAACAAAGAATGTTGTCTTCATGGAAATTATTTGTAGCGGCTAGTAACAATTGATACTCGGTATCACCAATTGAACCCTTGTTGATTCCAATTCTCAAAGAAGTGAATTTATCCAAAATTGGACCTAGTGAGATCCCTTTTGCAGCTTCCACATATGCAAAAACTTGTTGCCTTTTTTTCTATCGTAAGTGTATGATATCATAACAAGTGATATAGTGAACCTTTGAATTTGGATTATCGTTTCCACGAGAACTATACTTTATAACTTAATTAAATTTTTCTAAGTCCTATTTGTTGAAAGTAAACAAAGAATTATGCGTTGATGTGAATTTTTTATTTAAACAGTTGAACTTAATCAAAATGCACACAAAGATTGATTGAAAATTCAAATAATGGATGGAAATTAGGGATGAATAATTTCATCTATTGATCACCTTTAAATCATAATTTAAGATTCAAGAGCCTAATGCACTGTTCATTTGAATTCTCCTAGGGTTTTCAATTTATCCATCTCGAGTTCTCATTGAACCTAATTAACTATTTCAATCCCATATCTCTATGTGAATATACCTTAGTTAAACGAAATATTAGTTCTAAGAATTCTTGTATGATCACAATATTTAGTATATGTATCTCTCACGTTATACTAAATTATCGGATTTTACTATATGGTCTAAATCTCAAACTCACCTCTCGATTTGTAAAAGATTTACAAAGTCATCAAATTAGTGATCAAGTAATTTAATGCATTAAACTCATAATAAAATCAACACATGAACAATAAAATACCAAGAATTTTGAATAAAAGACATAAAGGTTTTCACGTCGATTACATCGTTAGCCCTAATATAAAGTTNGTGATCAAGTAATTTAATGCATTAAGCTCATAGTAAAATCAACACATGAACGATAAAATACCAAGAATTTTGAATAAAAGACTCAAAGGTTTTCAAGTAGATTAAATAATTCGCCATAACATAAAGTTTAGCTACTCATAATAAATGAAGAATAAAACAAAGAGTTGTTATTGAACACATCATCAGATTTTGAATATAGATGTAGAAAAAAATAAAGCTTGCACCAAGATGTACATCCTCTTCCAATCAATGCTTTAAAATGTGAATTCCTTGATGTTTTACTCATTTGAATTGTCCTCTTTAATCTTTCATTGTATTCTCCTTTTCTCAATGTGTGGAAATCCCCAAATTGTGTGAAATTCTTGTGTTCATACTCCTCCCACGTTTGTGTCCAATGTATAGATTTTATGGGTTTTAAAACGGACCAAAAACGCGCCCTAGATGCACCCAGGTGGGGCCAGGAGAAAAACTACACTGCACTTCCTTTAGTATTTGTATCATAACTTTCTCTCTTGATATCCGATTGAGGCGATTCAAATTGGGTTATAAAGATACTCAAAGGGCTACAACTTCACTAGGAAGAGTTGTTTTCCAATTTGAATGTTTACTAGGCAAAAAATGGGTCTCAATCTCCAGCTGAAAATCTGGACCATCCCTGTGCAGTTGAAAATTGATTTGTGAAAATATTTTAGTCACATTTCACTCCTTTTGACTTCTAATTGCATCTATTTGACCCCTAGCATTCTAGAATCTTCATCGTGAGTTTCGACACAACTTTTGAGTATTTATATTTTAGTCCCCAAACTTGGACCTTGCCCATTTTTTCGACAATTTTCACTTCTTTCTTTCAAATCCACTTCCATCTATCGAGTTTCACCTAATAACACATTATATAATAAATTGGGCTATAATTCCATTAAAATAATTACGAAATGTCAATATTTTAGAGCCCGAAGAAGTATATAATATACATTTATCAAACATTCCCAAACTTAAACATTTGTTTGTACTCAAACAAAATCATAACCTAACTTAACAAACATACAAACATGAAAAAGGTTTTGATTAGATAACCTGCCATTTTGTCTCATGATTGAAATCATTGTATTAAATCTATAAATAGCTTGAAGGTCACATTACAAAAATCAATATCTACTTTTCCAATGCAAAATTGATATGCGCGCGTGTGAAGAATTAAGTAAAGCACTATAAATTCACGAGTTGTTTCAATTCTCGACCCTCAATGGTCAAATATGTTCTTTCATCACTCATAAGATTCACACACACCAAAACTTATTCTTTTTGCTCTTTTCCAGTATGTGAACTAAGGTTGGATTTTCAACTATCCTTGCCTATCTAGCTTAGCTAAATCTCACCAATTGCACTTCAACATGACAATAAACAAGGATTCTCCATTAAATTTAATTGCTTCAATCTCTAGAATTTAACTAGGTCAACAATCTCTTATCAAAAGTCAAATTTTCTTAAACAAGTATTTAAGACTTAACCAATGTATTTGGTGCTTCTTCTGTTTCATACACCAGCTTTTTTCTGAGTTTTTTTTTTTTAATTTTTTTTCTTTATTTCAACAATTTTGTTCTTTATTTAAATCGTTCTCTCCCTTAAGCTTTCTAG